TGAATGAATGAATGAATTAATTTTATTATTATACCATCAGTATATATGCACAGATAAATGTTTATGTTAATCTTTGTATAACATCCGTTAGACCCACCTTAAATGTTTTGCCCATTCAAGATTTTTAATTTTCTTCTTTCTTTTATATTTGGGCTTTTTTTGCTCATTCAAATTCAAATATATTAAACTAGTTAAAATTATGCCTATCACGATAGGCAGTCAAAAAACCATCAGCTGTCGACAATGTTGCTAATCTGGTGGCTCCATTTGAGGCAACAAAGTTGCTAAAAGTAATTCCCCTCTTTGTGTTCGTTCAGACAAATTTCCAAGTTTCTTCATATATAAAGAGCTTTCAACACTTTGTCGCTGTGGCTGCATTCGTTTTATGGCCCTGTTGCTGTTGTTGTTGTTGTTGCTGTTGCTGCTGTAACTGTTGCTCGTCTCCTGCCCATTCTTCTTCTTCATCTTCTTCATCCACTTGGTATTGTTGCTATCATGGGCATTGTTTATGCTTAGGCCACGGGGCTTGGTACTAAATTATGTTGTTTTAGCTGGGCATTAATGACTCCAACCGACAATGTTTCCACCACTTCCTTCCCCTTCCCTTTCCTCTTCCCTACATTGTCAATTTGACCGGAAGCACCATCCAGTGCTACGTACCGCCCCGGGCAAGTTTAATCCTGTTGCCCCCGCTTTAAATGCTGCTGTTGTCAACTCCCGGACTTGATGCAAACGCATAAATTAAGTTTCAGCATTTCAACTAAAGCATAAATCAGAGCCACTAGCTAACTTCTGAAGCCCTTTGTAGTCTTTGCAGTCATTTAACAAAATATATATAAATTAATTGCAACAAAGGAGATTTATATGAAATGTTTTCTCTATTTAATATATATATATTTTTTTACTTTTTTGTTTTTATATTGAACACGTAGTAAATTATTTAGTAAAACGTGACAGTGTTTAAATGTGTTGTCAAATAAAATTAAGCAAATAAAAAATAATACCCTATAAACTTATGTTAGTCATATTTTTTATAAGATGAAGTTATCTTCGTAATTATAATATAGTTTCTATTGGATTATAAAGTTTAAACTTTAATAATCATTTTTATATGTTTCTTTGAGTTCCTTTAATATTAACAAAACGAAAAACTTTACACCGTCCCTTTAAAATCGAATTAAAATTTATTAAACTCAAGTCCTATCTCTGCGATATCGTCTGTGGAATTTTTCTAAGCAACTGAACTAGCTCCCTCTTTGTTTCATTAATCCTCTCTCTCACTGACCTCTTCTGTCTTTTTAATGCTCTCTCACTCTCTCTCTGTCTTTTCCTTTTTAATCACCTCAGCCCTCTCTCGCTCACCTCATGCTGTCGGCGAACTTCAAACGAATATTAGTTCAACGTGATTCACGATAATTTTAATTATAGTTGTCTATATAATATTCACAATTATAGCAGAATAAATAAACGAATTATAAATGATATTCATGTGTTTGATTTTATTATGTATTTTAGTACATTTAAAGCATTCGACTCGTCTGCTCTCATTTACTATATCATGTATATTCAAATATTATGGCACGTGTGCCACTGTTTCTTGGAATTTTTATGAACAACAGCCAAAAGTTCGCCCACAAACTTTCCATCTGGCGTATTAAAGCCAAATCGAATCGTATGCTCATTATCAACAACAGCAACAGCAACCTCATCATCATCATCATCATCATGATTATCACCTGAGGCATTTTCCTTGGCCACCTTGTTAGCATTAGCTGCTACAACTTGGCCTGGTCTCTGTGCTGAGCGTGGGCGTGTCGCCAACAATTTTAGTGTTTTTCTTTAATAAACAAATAAGTTAGGAGATTGGCCAACGACGCCACAAAGACGGCGACTGAGTCGAAAAGGGTTTTCAGACGACGCCATCTTTTGGGCGGGTCCTATTAACATTAATCGGGTGTGTGTGTGAGAGTGTGCATACCTTTCGATACCACACACACACACACACACACACACACACACGCACTTAGAATTTACGACTTTGGATCGGTTTTAACAACTGTTTGTTTTGCAATTTTGTGGACACACACACTTTTTCACGCAAAATTTATGAAACACTTATTTTATGGCCTGTTTGTTAAGCATTTAAGTGGGCGTGGATAAAACCAAAGAGGATATCTCTCTCTATATATATGTATGTATTTACATGGAATAGCTGTGCTCTAGAGCTATTTGCAAATTGAATAACTTTGCACATATTCGTATATATTTTAATTTCGTTATTAGTCTGCTGAATTTTTCCTGCAAGGCAAACTTAATTTCTGAAATTAACATTTTTCACGAAGTTTGCACTTGAAAATGTATTTACTGTAGCACAGTTTTCGGGGCTCTCTTTGACCCAGCTGCAATGTTGCTTCATTTCAGCATTTACACTATATTTAATTAGCTTTGCTGTCAGTGGAGGCAATGCGCATTGTCCCTGCCGTCTGCTGTCTGCTGTCTGCCGTCTGCTGTCCGTCGCAGATGCTCTTCTCACTAGTTAAAGGTCAACGATTATGTTGTGCAGTGTAGATTGTTACGTCTGCTTTGATGCTCTATGCATAGCTCTAGCTAAGCTCGATTGAACAATGAGTTACATGGAATTAGATTCCATTCATAATTCCATACCGTGTAAATATTTCGAGTCCAGCTTAAGGGTTATGAGAGTTATTAGAGATATGTTTTAGAAAATGTTGTTAGAAATTCTTGCATAAAATTGAGAAAATCTTAAAATTTACATTGTTAATCATTAGGTATATTAAAACAAATGAAAAACATATTAAATTTACAGGGTATTTCACATGTGTGTTTGTTCATTTCGCTTTACTGCCTAACTGGAATATGTGATAATTTAGCTGTTTGTGCAGCTCATTGGCAGACTCACCTTTAATACACACACACACTCTCCCTCTCCCTCCCACCTCTGCCTGCCTTTCTCCTCACTCTTCTCTTTGCGATTCTCACTGTAAATTTTGCCTTTTAAGCTGCAACTTGATACAATTTACATTGTGGCTTTTGCTTGAAGATGCTGCCCAATTAATCCGCTTTGCAGCTGCTCTTAACTGCGAGAGTCTGCAAGGGAAAGTAAATATATATAAAAAATGAATTAAATAAAATTTAATCGTAACGCTTTGACCATTCCATTGATAGAATTTCTTTTTCCGATTTTTACCTCTTAATTTATTACGCAAAAGTGCTGAAAAAAGGCACCAAAAAAAATTATTAACTGCGTTTTCAATGAAATTTGTGTCGTTTCTTTCCTTCACATGAGTTTTCCAGGTCCCTTTTGCGTTGCCTTTTATACTCGTTCACACAGGGCTAAGAGCGGGCATATTGGGTTTGCGTTGTCTTTGTCTGTTTGAAACATTTTTTTGTTATTGAATTTTAATATATTTTCTTCGCACTATTTAAAAGTTTTCCTTGTTCTCTGCTCAATACAGAGTATTATGCAGCTGGTATACCCGACCTATTATTTATATAATTCAATCAAATATATTTTGGCCGTTCATCTTCCCTTTTTTGGGGGGGACTTTCTGCATAATTAAATGCACTTTATCGACTCGCAGTCGAGTTGATAATTTTATTGTGTCCGCTATTCGCGTTACAGGTGCTGTCTTGGCGGCGCAGTTATTCTCTACCCTGTGCTTAATTAGCAAGTCCGATTATCCTTGCTGGCAGCTTGCATAAGCAACAGGATAATGGGATGTCAACTGCAAAAATAAAAGAGTCTCCATGTGTAGCATTTAAGCGAATTTCACAAACGAATGATTTAGCAACTGCGGCCCACATTTGCGGAGCAGCAGCAGCAGAAGCAGCAGCAGCGGCAGCAACAGCAGCGGCAGATAAAAACTCTACTTAATTGCATAATGCAGAGCAAGGGAAAAGCAAAGGGAAAGCTGCAAGCGAAGGCTGTTGGAAAAACTTCGTTAACCAACAGGACGAGAGATTTATCTGTGAGGCCTGTCGTGCACATCAACCAGATGCAGGGTATTTAAACGAATTTCAATGCTGGAAAACGTTGAATTAAATGAAATGAATTGACTTCAGTCAGTCTGCCACTCTCTTGTACGGGGTATCCTTGAGTTGAGCTGTCGGTGGAAGTTGGGGATTTACTTGTTGACTTGCAGCATTTGTCTGGATGGTTAAACAAGGACTTGTTAAACGTTTTTATGTAACTAACTTGTTAATAGAAAAAGAGCCGTAAAGCGAAAGCGCCGAACGGTATGAATAAATATGTGGGGAAGGGTGAGAGGATGAGAGAAATAGAGAGTGAGATAGAGAGAGGGAGAGAGATGATAGATGTTGAGAGCCAGAAGCTATGAGACTGAGGGTATGACCGAGAGAGAGAGAGAGAGAGAAGCAAAGACAAAGCGAATAGGAAAGAGAAAAAGATAAGTAGATCTAGAGTAATCAAAGGATTGCGAATGGAAAACAACTCAAAAGACTGACAGCTCAATGGGATATATGTTCATGCATAAATAATAAATTTAATAGTTGCCGTTGTGCAGAAATATGCAAATTTTAATTTTAAGCAATTCATATATATAAATCAAATGATTTGCATAATCATTATTGACAGCTTTCAATTATTGTTGCTTACTGGCCATATAAAGGGCAAGCAAGCACTGAAACAATTATTTAATGATGCAGCAAATAAGGTTAAAGCAAATATTGCAATGCGAATCGAAATTTATTCTTCTATGCGTACTCTTTCATAGGGTGCAGTTGACTACAAAATGTGTGACTAAAGTATATATTTAAGATTGAGCTCTGTCAAATAGAAGTTTAACTACGAAGAAGAATATTTTTCTAATTACACAAAGATATTTTAGCATACGATTCATTTACTTAAGTTAATTGCAGAGTATTTGAAATTCTTTAGCAAATTATTTGATTTTATTTGATGTCTTGCAAATGGAATTTTAATCCCGTTTTTTTTTTTCTCTCTCAATTTCGATTTGCAGCTATGGATAAAATAACAAGAGAATTTATTTTCAAACTGGCTTAAAGGTAGCATCTGGGAAAGCAGTAAAAAATAATCAAGACAGCCTGAAAAACAGGGGCAATAATTGTAAGAATTTTTAATAAGAACAGCAGCTGTTGTTATACATATATGCAGCAACAACAACAACAACAACAACAACAGCAACATCATCAACAACAGCAGCAACAGCAGCAGCAACAACAATAACAAACGCAACAACGACGACGACATCAATCGCAGCAACAATAACACGAACTGCACACATAAAATACAGCAAAATATACAACAACAAAAATCGAGTAAGTGTAAACCAAAAGTAATAATAAAAAAAAAAAAATAAATAAAAATCATTTCATTTTTCACTTTTTATTATTTTCATTTGACTCTTATAATTATGAAAAATAAAGAAAACATTTTCCGCTGCACTTATTGTTATTGGAAAATCCGATGAAAATGTAAATTCTGTTTATTATTAATTATTTTTTAATTGTCGATGACTCAAAATGTTAACAAACCGTTTGAGCAGAGCGAGCTTAAGTGCTTAAACACTTTAAACAGAACAGTTAAATATTTTACTTTTTAAAATGAATTTTAAATAGACTTTGGGGTAATTGGATGAGCCTGGAAATTGAAGGAGATATAATCTATTAATGGACTTTGTATGGGAATTTAAGGGACAAATTTATTACTATTACAGATTCTTTTGGGTATAATGGATTGATGGGTTTTCCGGAAAAATTGCCAAACTGATTTTATAAAGTAAATTTTTTATAAAGTAAATTTTAATTGTTGATTATTTTGAAATCTATATAGTATAGGATATTCGATATTTTATATATGTCAAATATTCTACATTAATGTATTATGTAAATCTAATCAGCAAAGGTTAATCTCTTATATCTTATCGACTAAGCCAAAGGAAGTGTACACTTCTTTCCATACAGCCTAAAGACCTATCAAAGAGCAGATAGTCTGGCTTTATAGTGATGTCAAAAATCTAAACTTATTTGACTTTTACAGAGATTCTGCCTGCTAAGGCTATAGCTCTGCACTTTTAGAGGTGTTCCAGCTCTATTCTCCTTTTTGCATATACACACATTCCTTCAAGTAAATTCACTTATGTGAATACAGATTGTAATGCTATAAACTGAATGCAAAATTGGATGCTCTCATCTGATACACATCTCAATATAATCAGCTAAACTCCATTATATCTCACACAAGAGAAACAAAAGGTTATCTAGTTAACAAGAGTGAGCTATTATTTTTCAGCCATAGAATGGCTGCTGGCTTTTGTAGGCTCTGAGTCTCTGTCTCGCTTTCCCTCTCTCTCTCTCTTTCTCTCCCCATATAGAGCCTCTAAATTGCTCTGAAACTGAAGGCTCTGTCGTTTGCTTCCCATGTGCTAATTGTTTGGGCACTTAAACGTAATATAATGAAAGACACGTGCAAAATGCGCAAAGTACAAAACTCGTTCGACTTTTACTGCACGATATCTATGTATGTGCATACATGCATGCACTTATGAGTATGAGTATGGGTGTGTGTGCGTTTGCGTGTGTGTGTGTATCTTAGCGTTGTGATTTTAGTTTTTATGCCGCAGGCAGTTTGCCAAGCAACAAGCTTTAGTTCGAAATTGCATTTTTGGGAAATTTGCCAAGGAGCCGAGTCAAACAAAACGCTGCGATGACTTGAAACTAGCTGCTGAACTGCAATTAGAGTGCAACATGGAGAGAGAGCATGGAAAACATATTACGCATACGCAGTGTATAATGAGTTCGGTGAAAATTGCTTAGCCCAAGTTTATTAATTACGATGCAAAGAGGCAAAGACTAAACACAATTAAATTCCAAGATGCAGGAAGTAGATAAAGCGGCGTATACACTTGGCATTCCTCTCTAGCTCTCTCTTGATCTTGGTGTTAATGAAAGATCAAGATCAGAACTGCACACAGAGTGAAAGAGTGAGGGTGAGGCAGAGAAAGAGAATGAGAGAGAGAGACGGAGAGGGAGAGAGGTAGAGGGTTAGTTGTATACTACGTACAATTGAACTGAGAAGCTGACGACAGCACTAATTCACACATTTCCAACAGAACGAGTATTCTAGTCGACTCATATATAGTATATATTATTTATAGAGACAACCACACACACACACACACACACACTTAGACATACACCTCTGGACATGGAAACCGCAATTTTGTATTTTGCATGATAAATTAATGATAATTTAAAGATAACATTTGTATAAACAATAAATTTGGTGCGCCTTGTCGTTTGTTATTGCTCGTGCTGTTTGCCTTTATTAAAAATAGACCAACACGTTACTCCACAACTGAGATAAATCACACGACATTCAAATCGATTGTCATCAGCCAGTTGCTATTAATATGATAAATAATGGATTAGAAATACAGCAGAAAATAAATAATCCCATGATATAACAGAACAAAATATTTTATTATTTTTGTTAGTTAATCCAATTCCTCTTCTATGCATGATAAATTACATAAGCAGGCAGCTCTAACTAAGCCCTGCTGATTATATTACCTTATTCAAATAATTACAATGATTGTGCGTGAAAGCCTTTGGCAAACGAAAACTAATCACTTTTTGTATTAACTGTAAATAACAAGGCTTAATCTGCCATTGAATTTGTCATTTTGGGCCAATGTTGCTCACATAAAATATTCACCTTGAGTGTAGAATAAACAAAGGATGCGAAACCAAATCATTCAGGCATGATGCACGTTGATGACTAGTGGAAATCAACGCTCTTAAGTAACCAAAGAAATACATCTCAGCTATTCGACTCAATGCCTTAAAAATGGAAGATGAAATGCCTAAAATAATACTATTAATAGTCAAATGTAATGTCTATGACAATGACAATGAAATAAAATTAAATATTACAATTCTTTTAGAGCATGCATTATAATAATTAATGATAGCTTCAATGTAAATAATAATATTCATAAAATAAATCATGTCAAGTTCTTTCTCATATTAAATATTAATCATTTGGTGGGTCTCATTAACTCCAGCCAATTGAGTTTCTAATTGATAATGGGCTCAGTTTTTGGCCCAAAAGTTTTCGTTAGCACAGCATGAAACCCAAGAACCGTTAAGCTATTGGAATTATCCGGCAGCTAAGGTTTTTTTTGTTGGCGTTTTTGATTGATGATGTGGCGCCAAGTTGTACATCATGCGCGTCTCTGGTGTGAGAGCTGACGCCTTTTGGTGTGCAATTAAAATGCCATCGATATGAATTCGAAAATAATAACAGCAGCAACAACAACTTAACATATGAATAAAAAACCAACAATAACAAAAACAGAAACGAAAAAAAAAGAGAAAAAAACAATGTCAAACACTTGATAACTGCCTGAAGATAACCAAATCGATTCGTGTCGACAAACAATATAACAATCATATATAATATACATACATACATCTGTATATATATTATGTACAGTTGCTTGTGCTCGTTTAATAATATAATCACTTGAAAATGCCATTTATAAGAGCTGGTAACACTCGCAAGATCTCTTCAAGTGCCAAAATTTGACGTTTAATTGTTGTTTAACAAATTCTGGTTAACATACAATTTCGTATACCCTTGCCAAGGTAATTTTAATGATATAAGAAATGTATTTGTTAAATTGAATATTTATAAAGTATTCTAATATATCATAAATCATTAAACTATTCTCACAAATATATAAAATAGTATTTTTATATAATATATATTCATCTGTGGTATTCTATCTTCTTTAGGGTATTTCTCTTCAGCAACATTTCCGCATTTCATGACTCGTCTGATTTTTTTTCTGTTCAGCGTGAATAATGAGACACAATGACTGTTAGAGCCAAATTAATAATTAGGTGTGCTAATAAGCGGCTCTTGAAGTGTTTCCATTGTATTGGCCAGCTTGCGGCTATCAAAACTTGATAGATTTGCGGTTAATGGCCCCATGGCTCATGTTACGTTTTGCTTATGTTTTGAATGCCCGGCGGACGGTCAAGCGCGCGGTCAATTGACTTCCACATGCTGTCCAAATAAATCCATACAGAATCAGTCTATGACCAGGGGCTATGAATTGTGTTAACCCCGTAACGGCAGTTGATTGAAAGTGAAATTGAATTGTGGCGGATGTGGTGGGAGAGGCGACTGAAAAATACCCTGTAAGGGCTGGAATTTCTATATATATGAATATAAATCATAAATTCATCGTAAGCATCAATTTTAATTATTGCCAGCTACTATAAATAAGAATAATACATATTCATATATATTTAAATATTCACAGTTCATTTAAAATTCCATTAAAAGCTCAATTGTTTTTTGATAGTCGCCATAAGCCAGCAAATAATTTGTTGATTGGCCGCAAATGAAATGGAAATCAACGCTATGAAATCTAAGCCTTAAAGCCGTGTGCATTGATTGGTTTATCAGGAATCTCGTTATATATACATATATATAACTTTATATGTATATCGAAAGCGCAAGTCTTTTTTGCAGGTGGGCAAACAATAAAAACAATCATTTATCATGAAATGCCAAGAGTTTTTTTTATTCTGGTTTTTGTGTTTTTAGTTATTTGTTGTGGCTGCTTTGAGCGGCTTTTCGGCTAGTTGAATTGCTCTGCGGACTCTGTTAGCCGCCTCGTTGGCTGAGCACGTTTCGAGCTCATCTTTTGGGTTTCGTTATATTCTTTTTATGGGTGAACCCCCCTGTAAGTGCTTATGGTAAACGTCGAGGCCTTTTAATTAATGCTTTTTCGCTTTCTAAAAAAAAGGAAGAAACGAATCCAAGTGGCATAGTGGAAGCTGAGAAATACCCTATGCGTAACTTGGACTGAATATAGAAAATATTTGAGAATGATTTTTATATAAAATAAAATGTGTATATGCTAAAATATTCTTTGTAATGAGATCTATTTCGCATTACTTCTGGTTACTAATTCCAGAATCATTATTTTCAGAAAAATATATATGATCTTTAGGTATTTTTTTAAATTCCCAGCATAGAGAAAATT